TACAATTGAATTTTGTAAAAAAAAAAAAAGAAAAAATCAGTTCTTGTGTCTTCTATGCCATTTCTTTAATATCTAGCCCTATTGTTCCGATATCAATCTCCTTCAACTAATTAACTTAAAAAAAAATAAAAAAAAGAGACTCCGATGGTAGCTCGATGTAAGCCACTACAATACTGCTCTCCTCATTGAAAGCACGAAGATAAATTAAGAAACCACTGAAAGGATTACTAATTTCTTGGTAAAGACTAAAAACAACACTATATCTTTTTATATGAATCGTATATTATCATATTGAGTTTCAATTTTAAAGTTTTGTAATTTTTTTTTAATTTTATTTTATACTTGTTAGTAGATATGTTTTAACAAAAAAATTAGTATATTCTTTCTATCCCAGAATAATTAATATTTTTTATTTAGAATTTATCTCAAAATAATAGTCTTTTTTATTTTATTTTGAGGAAGATAAATAGTTTTTTTCTATTTTAACCATATAATTATCTCTTAATTTTAATTATTTATTTTCTAATGGAAGTAGATATTTATTCTTAGTTATTTTTTAAGTATAAAATAGGTAAAGATAAAAATTATTTTCAAATCTTTCATTTGAAGATAAAACAAAAAAATCTATTATTCTAGTATAGAGGAAGTAATATTTAAGTAATGAAACTTATTGATTTTTTATTATCACAAAAACTTATATAATTTTCTTTTAAGATTTAGAGTTGTTGAGATTACAAATAAAATTAAATATTATGGTAATATTGAAGTTATATTGAAATTATATGAAATAGAATTGGATCGGAATAAAAAAATTGAAAAAAAAAAGTACAAATCCATAAAGGAAACATACATAAATTCAATAAAAGGAAAAATCTTGGATATAGTTATATAAAAAAAGCAATAGGAACATAAATTAGTATAAAAGAAAGATAAACTCATATAAAATGTAATTAACTTGTAAAAAGGGAAAAAATTTGTTTGCTTGTAGAAAGTTGTAGGATAAAGAGATTGGATGTTATTATATTTCTAAATTATGTCAATAGTTTGTGGAGACAAAAAAATCAAAGGTTTATAGTCTTATTTATAAGTTAATTACTTTAATATTTACTTTTTTAATTTTTATAGTAATAACAAAAAAAATATTTTTTATCATAAAAATTATGAAAATGAAATTTTGCAGTAAATATAGAGGATGGATCTCTCTTTAACTCTTTGATTGTTTATATTAAAAAGAAAATAATTCAATCATTTGGTGTAAATAATATTATAAATAAATTTTATGATATAAAAATTTATTAAATATTATTTTAATATATAATATAAAATTAAAATTTTAAAATTACAATATATTATTTTAAGGCGTGAAAACCACCCCACCAAAATTCCTGACTCCGCGCCTGACGTTCGCTGCCTATCACAGTTATAGTAGTAGTGTTCAGTCAGAATCATCCAAATGTCGATAATTTAAGTAGAGATTTTACATAAATTATTAATTTTGAATAATTACTAAATATGGACACGACTTCATATATTAGCAAGAGTTTTAAGTTTTTTAGTTGAGAATACAGCTTGGGGTTATTATATATCCCA